CTATGGGAACGCTGTCTTATCTTTATTTGTATTTAGTTTTACCTTACGGCTTTAAAGCACCTCGGACAATGTACATTCATTGTAATTTTATGGTGCTATATAAATACAATGACAAAATTACAAACATATCAGCCATGTGCTTAAATCAACTATTATATTATACAAAACAACAAAATATTACTAATCTGCTGCAGCAGTGACTTTTAGTTTTGAATTTGTTTGAAAAACTGTTCAGAGTTAGCATAAAATGAATGTTTTCAGAATCAAGGTCAGAAACGGTGCACACTTGGTTTTGCGAAACCATGTGATTTTCTTGAAATGCCCAAGCTGCCAGTCCTGTTTGCTGGCACTCTGCCTGGCAGCACCTTTTTGTTATTGAAATAGTTACCCTGATTAGAATATATGTCAATGTAAAATACATCACACACACACACACACACAATAAATGTAAATTTAATGTATTTAAAGTTATTGTGTTTGTGTAAAAACAACTTAAATAATAATAATATAAAAATAAAAATATTAATAAGGTTTTGAGAATGCTTAATGCATACATTTTAACTGATAGTAATTCTAAAGAACAGCAACTCAACATAAACTCTTCCTCCTATATTTGAAAAACAAAGTCATAAAAATTCAGTCTGACCTAATTTCAACAAATCCAGCAGTGCTCCATAAAATTAAACTTTGGTTGCTGTTATGACCCTTATGTAGAGCAACACATAGTTGCACATTGCTATCGGTAACTTAATGTCAGATTTTGACAAACACAAAATAATTTTACATTAGCCGTGTGGTAGCTTTTATTTTGGACTGTGTGGCTATATCACAAGATCAACTACCAAACAAGCAAACCCAGTTTAGCTGGAAAGTCCCTATTGTTGTTTCACCTGGTAACACATTTGCGTGTTTGGCTTGGTGCATGGCTGTGCCTTGCTCATGCCGTGACGCCCCACCCTTAATGCCAGCGGGACAGACATGACTAGATCTGCTCTCCATTTTATTACGCTGCCCGCGGTCTACCTGCCTCAAAATGGCTGCCACTTTTAAACTATGCATAATATACCTTTGGGGTTTATAGACCTACGTATCTGTTTTCCTAGCCTATAAAAATGTGTTCCTATCATGATGAATAGTGGTTTGGATTCAAATGTAATTGAGTTAGCAAGTCCAGTACATTCTTTGAGTAGATTTTGGTACCTAACAAACTTTCTTGTGAAAAGTTATACTTGAAATGGAATCTATATCACTGTTTTACATAAAAAATCTAACAAATAGCAATACTACCTTTTCACAAATGGTGATGAAAAGTGGTTTAGATTAAAATTGCATTGAGTTAGAAGTCCAATATATTGTTTGAGTAGATTTCTGCAACAAACTGTGAAATGTTATGATTCAAAAGGATCTATATTACCTTATTGCATAAAAATCAAGTTAAATGAAGGCTATCAACATTTCACATACCAAAAATCTATTGCTATACACATCAGGAAGGCAGAAAGATAAAGACTCATTTCTGACTAACTGGAATACAATAGAATTATTGAAAGGTTGGGATTTTTGTTTTCTTTTTTGTGTGTAGCAAACAAAAAAACAAAGCGAGTGGCCATGAATAAGTTAAGTGCTTGCACGATTTTACATGCCAGTGAAGGTGCATAATTGGTTTCCTGAAATGACGAGATTTCTATTATTTTGTGACCTGAAATAAAAAGAAATCATCAAGCTCAAGTGACAGTGAAAAGAATCTCATCACATATGAAACCTATTCTCTTCAGCAAAGAGACTGAGAGTCTGCATATGCATATTCTTTCCTTCAACATCCTCAGGATGACAAAAACATTTTGCAGGTTTTCAATGCTTGTTAAAGTCATTTTAAAACCATATCACTATTTTATATTTGTTGTCATACATCAACTTGGAATAATTTCCACTAAATATTCAGAATGCTGCTATATTTACAGCTCATCTTTGGGTTGAGACATTGTCTTTTTTGGAAAGTCCCTGTTTTTTTAGTTTTGGTAGTGCAGATCTGTTAAACTTGCTGTCTGGTTATGCCTAGTCTCATGGTGCATCCACGATTGCAATGTTGTTTTATCACCCCCTATCGGAAAATATACTGCTGCCAAGAAATGATCCAGTGATATTTTGGCCTCCATTACAAGGTACTGCCTCAAAATGACTGCCATTACACTGCACAATGAAAAATTGCTGCCGAAATAAATGGAGATTATATATCTTCCTGTGGTCCATATTAAATTGTAACTGACTGAAGTTTCAGTATACAAAATAGAAGGTGGAAGAGTGAGGGCAGCCATTTTCTCAAGTGATGGAATATTATGAAATGCCTGACATATTTTTAGGTACTTTTTAGTTTTGCCCACACATACAGACAAAAACGAAACGTTGACAGACAACAGCCAACATAAATGAGACACTAGCTCACTCTAATTAAAGGGATAGTTCACCCAAAAATGAAAATTGCCATCATTTACTCACCCTCAAGTTGTTCCAAACCTGTATGAGTTTCTTTCCAAACAGTTGCTGTAGCCATTAGCGTATTATTTTTTCCATACTATGGAAGTCAATGGCTACCGGCAACAGCCTGGTTACCAGGATTCTTCAAAATATATTCTTTTTTGTTCAACAAAAGAAAGACACTCATAGAGGTTTGGAACAACTTGAGGGTGATTAAATGATGACAGAGTTTTTCATTTTGGGGAGAACTATTATCCCTTTAACACAACAGAGCATCAATGTCAGTGTGCCATACAAGAGTGTGTGTTTGAAGCATCCATTTTTTCTTGTCAAGTCCTGACAAAGCAGAGTTTTCCCGCGCTCTTCTTTTGGTTTGATTTGTATAATCACGCCACCAGTGGCTGAATATCACATGCCAAGCATAATACACCCTGGAAAGTCCCGAGGCGGACACCGGCACTCTTTCACTTTC